GTTGGAGCTGCCGCTAGGGGTGCTGGTGCTGTCCCTGCTGGTTCTAGAGGTGCTGCGCGGCCGCAGCCGTACTTCGTTCCACTCCTTGAGCAGGTTCTTGGTCTCCCGCCTTCTACTGGTCCTGCTCCTTCCTTAGAGTATCCACCGCCTGTCCAGTCCGAGTCACAGTTACAGCTGGCCTCCCCACTGCCTGCTCCTTCTCCCTACACTGGTCCTACTGGAGGTCTTGCTGAGCGTCGTGAGCCTGAGTCTCGTCCTGGTCGCCCGTTCGTGCTGCTCGCACTGGTCATCGTGTTCCGCGTCAGCGTCCTCCTGCGGTCCCAGGCACGCACCAGATGGCACTGCGTCCTTCCACTGCTCCACTGCGTGTCCCTTTGCCGTCTCCTCCTGAGTCCTCTCTTCCTGCTCTTGCTGACCTGGAGTCTGACTCCCTTCTTGCTGCTAGTCCTACTGTCACGCGTCTCCTGGCCACTGTTGTCACTGACCCTTCCTTTGAGTCCACTGATGCGTCTGCCTTAGTTGTTGAGCTTGTCGACTTCGCTGCTCACTGTTGTCTACACTACGCCGCTAGTCTTATTGCTGAGTCTGAGTCTGTCTGTCCTCCGTCCGTCGGGGGTGGGTGTGCTCTTAGCACGGACGTCCTTGAGGACAGGCAGGAGGAGTTCCAGTGTTTTGCTACTGCTTTACCTCATCTCGTCTCCATGCTGCTTGCCCATGAGGGAGACCCGGATGCACCAGACATCCCGACCCCGCGCTCTTACGCAGAGGCGATAGAGGGTCCCTACTCCTCTCAGTGGCAGACAGCCATGGACGCAGAGATGGCTTCCTGGAATTCCACAGGCACCTACGTCGACGAGGTTCCCCGACCTGGGGCGAACATCGTCAGTGGCATGTGGATCTTCAGGGTGAAGCGGCCGCCGGGTTCTCCACCTGTCTTCAAGGCGCGTTACGTGGCTCGAGGCTTCAGTCAGCGGCACGGAGTTGACTACTTCCAGACCTTCTCTCCCACCCCGAAGATGACCACGCTTCGGGTGCTGCTGCACATAGCCGCTCAACGCGACTACGAGCTTCACTCTCTTGACTTCAGCACAGCTTTCCTGCAGGGCAGCCTGCACGAGATCTGGCTGCGCCGCCCACCTGGCTTCACTGGGTCGTTCCCTCTTGGTACCCAGTGGAGCCTCCGGCAGCCAGTCTACGGTCTCCGCCAGGCGCCCCGTGAGTGGCACGACACACTGAGGACTACGCTTGCGGCCCTTGGGTTTGCTCCTTTTACTGCTGACCCGTCGTTGTTTCTACGCACCGACACCTCTTTGCCGCCGTTCTACATCCTCCTGTACGTTGACGACTTGGTCTTTGCAACTGCTGACACTGCTGGACTCGCCCACGTGAAGTCGGAGCTGCAGAAGAGACACACGTGCACGGACCTGGGTGAACTGCGCAGCTATCTTGGCTTGCAGATCACCCGGGATAGAGCGCGGCACACCATTACCCTAACTCAGTCACACATGGTGCAGCAAGTCCTTCAGCGCTTCGACTTCACGTACTCCTCGCCTCAGACCACTCCTCTGTCTACTCGCCACTCGCTCTCAGCTCTGCCTTTGGATGAGTCCGTAGAGCCGAGTGGCCCATACCCAAAGCTTGTTGGCTGCCTCATGTACCTGATGACCTGCACTCGACCTGACCTGGCATACCCTCTTAGCATCTTGGCATGCTATGTTGCTCCTGGGAGACACCAACCAGTGCACATGGCTGCAGCGAAGAGGGTGTTGCGCTACTTGTGCAGTACGTCGGGCATGGGGCTCGTGCTTGGAGGGCGGAGTCTTGTGGTCCCCACTGGTCACGCAGACGTGTCTTGGGTTGACGATTTGGCTACGCAGCGATCGTCACAGGGTTACACCTTGAGCCTTGGTTCCGGCTCTGTTTTGTGGCGGTCTACCCGTTTGTCTTCTGTTCTCAGCTCCAGCTGTGAGGCTGAGATCTACGCAGGGGCCATGGCTGCGCAGGAGTTACGCTGGCTCACCTACCTGCTGACTGACCTGGGAGAGCTGCCTCGTTCTCCTCCAGTTCTGTACGTAGACAACAAGGCCATGTTGGCCTTGTGTCGGGAGCACAGACTGGAGCACAGAATGAAGCACATTGCTCTTCACTACTTCCTTGCTCGTGAGGTGCAGCAGCGTGGTCAGCTGCGCCTTGCTTACGTGGCCTCTCAGGCCAACACTGCTGATATTTTTACCAAGGCACTTCAGCCTTGTGATCATCAGCGCTTTTGTACGATGCTAGGTCTTGTGCCTACTTGGCCTCACTTGCTCACTTCTTGACTTTGTTTGTAGTGTGATCTATATATACCTGCACTTGCATGCTTATCCTTGCTAGGTTTTTGTCACTGCCTTGCTTGTTCACCTTGAGATATAACTTTGCATGTGAACTGGCCTTGTGGCCATGTCCTTGTGCTCAGATTGTGTGGTGACGTTGTGATCCACCCTGAGCTTGCCTTGCTTTGCTTGAATGGTCTTGTGACCTCTTATTCTCCCCCACTTTGCCTATGAGGGTGTGTCAAACATATATGACATTGTCTGTATAGGCTGTAGTGGGGTAGACTATATGGGGTACGACACTGCTAGGTTTTCCTACTTGTACCCATCTCCTTGCTAGTTCAGTCATTCCTTGTTCTATCATTCTCACATGTCTGACTATTGGCGACGGTAATTTCAACCTCGTTAAAGAGTGCTTCGCGATTGAGGATGAAGACGCTCGACGACACCATGTGTTGGTGGCAGTAGTTGTCCAGGTACCTTATGTTAACCTCCTTCTTCGCCTTGGCGAGGTTTGCGAGCTTTGGTGTGATGTGATGCTCCATGTCGTGTTCCTGTTCGTAGTCGTAGTAACACCCTCCGTCGTCGTATTCGATGCGTGCAGGTTGCGACTCTTGGATTCACTACGGTGCTTCCTAATTGAACTGCATCCGTCCGACTGTCAGCTCGTCGTACGTTGGATCGTTTTCTTCCTCGTCTTCAACCGATCCCTCGAATCGCTCCTCAGATGGTTCTGTGAACATCTCCTCCCAGCTGCGGAAGAAGCGGTAATGTCGGTTTGGGCGAGGCGGTTCGTGACGCACCATGCAAGTTAACACCTTGCTCTTGCCTTTGTCGTTTGCATTCTCAGAAATGCACGCTGGAGCTTGAGACATGCTGGCGACAGCTGGTGGTGACACTGTCTGTTTGCGTGTTGGAGCCCCTCCTTGCTAGTGAGTCGCGGCAACCTTTTGTTTGTTGTTATTGTCAGAACATTATAGCTTATGCTATTGTGTAGGCTATAGTGGGGTATCCCATAAGGGGTACAACCCAATTAGGGTTTCATATTTGTACTCACTTCGTTCATAGTTCATCCATTCTCGTTCTATTCTTCTCATGGTATAGAGCAGGTTCCCCTGTGGGAACTGTGCTTAGGGCCCACCACTTCGAACTTTTTTTTTCCTGCCCGGAGCGCGCTCCGGGCTCTCTCTCTCGATCTGTCGACCTACCCTACGGCTCCTAGACGCCCGCGCGCCGCCCTCAGACGCCCGCGCGCCGCCCGTCCCGGCCCTTAGCCGCCCGCGCGCCGCCAGTCTCGGCCCCTAGACGCCCGCGCGCCGCCCGTCCAGGCCCCACGCCGCCCGCGCGCCGCCCTTAGCCGCCCGCGCGCCGCCCGTCAGGCCCCGAGCCGCCGTCGCGCCACCCTTAGGCGCCCGTGCGGCGCCCGTCCCGGCCCGTCGGCGCCGTGTGCCGCCCGTCCCGGCCTCGCGCCACTCGTGCGCCGCCCGTCAGGCCCCACGCCGCCGTCGCGCCGCCCGTTCTGGCCCGTCGACGCCGTGCGCCGCCCGTCCCGGCCTCACGCCACCCGTGCGCCGCCCATCCCGGCCGCGCATAGCCGTCCCGGCCCCTCGGCGCCCGTGCGCCGCCCGTCGTGGCCCCTCGCCACCGTCCCGGCCCCAAGCCGCCCGTGCGTCGCTCGTCCCGGCCCCGCTCCCAGCCGCCCGTGCGCCACCCGTCCCAGCCGTGCGCCGCCGTCCTGGCCCCGCACCGCCCGTGCGCCACCTGTCCCTGCCGCACGCCGCCGTCCCGGCCCCACGCCGCCCGTACGCCGCTGTGACACCCAACCGCCCGTGCCACCCGCGTCACCCGAGCCACCCGAGCCGCCTGCGCCGCTGAGGAGCCAAGCCGCACGAGCCGCCTATGCCGCTGAGTGCCCGAGCCGCCCGAGCCGCCCGAGCCGCCTGCGCCGCCCGAGCCGCCCGAGTCGCCTGAGGAGCCGAGCCGCTGGTCCCGCGGAGCTGCTGTTGCTGCTGGGCCGACCGAGCTGCTGTGTTGCCGTGTTGCTGTGCTGCTGAGCTGCCCGACCCGTCCTGTCTGGTGAGACCGTCGACTGCTGTCATGGCTACCCCCAGTGTCCTTGCTTTTGACGCTGAGGGTCGGGCCATTGACTTTGAGGTTTGGGTCGACGACCTGCAGCTGTTCTTGCAGTGCGATAGGGTAGACGACCTTTCTCTCTTTGACCTTACCTCTGGCGCCGTCCCTGCCCCTGCTGCTGATGCTGACCCCACTGTTCGCTCCAAGTGGGCCACACGCGATGTTGCTGCACGTCTTGCTGTGCGTCGCCACCTGCCTACCGCTGAGCGTGCACACTTTAGTCAGTACAAGAGTGCCCAGACCTTGTACGACGCTGTAGTTGCGCGCTACTCCTCCCCTGCCACTGCTGCACTGAGCCGCCTCATGCTCCCCTTCCTCTTCCCTGACCTTGCCGCCTTTCCCACTGTCGCTGATCTCATTACGCACCTCCGCACTAGTGACACCCGCTACCGCGCTGCGCTTCCTGCTGACTTCTGCGCCAAGAACCCCCCCCCCATGTACATCACTCTCTACTTTCTAGTCACTCGTCTCCCTGACTCCCTTCGTGTAGTCCGGGACAACTTCTTCGCGGTCTGTCCCACCACTCTCACAGTCGACAGCCTCGAGAAGGCCCTCCTAGCGGCGGAGAAGAGCATCGTCGCTGTAGGAGCCTCTCGAGGTAACCCCCACGCCCCCATCTTTGAGGGGTGTTCTCCTTCCCCTCTCTTGCCCTCTGTAGCCTCTGCCGCTGCGGCCGACCTCGTTGGTCTTGAGTCGGTCGGTGCGGCGTCTGCCCCTAGCGGGAGACGCCGCTCTGGCAAGGGCAAGGGGGGCAAGGGAGCGGGTGGGGCCAGCGCGGGCGGTGGAGGTGGAGGTGGAGGCGGCGGAGGGAGTGGGGGTGGCGGTGGAGGTGGTGGCGGGGGTGGGGGTGCTAGTGGCGGCAGTGGAGGCGGAGGTGGCGGCGGCGGTGGCGGTGGGAGCGAAGGTGGCGGAGGCGGTGGCGGTGGAGGAGGAGGCGGGGGTGGCGGTGGTGGAGGTGGTCGGAGTGGCGCTTCCCAGCGGAGCAGCACTGGAGGTGGTCAGCGCCAGCAGCAGCAGCAGCAGCAGCGTTCTCGCAACGTCCCCACCCCTCAGCAGCTCCGTGAGTGGTACACGCAGCGTCAGCGGGGTGGGAGTTTTGGTCCTTGCACCTACGTTCTTCGCACTGGCGACCGCGCTGGAGAGCAGTGTGGGGGTACCCACTCCGTGTTGGTATAAGGGCCTAATAAACTCAAGCTATTAAGACTTTATCAAACTTAAAACCTCTCCTCGGGGTCACCTCCAAGGGTCCTTGGGTGCCTGGTACAAGACCAGCCCCTATCCTCGGGTCCGAGTTTGTAGAGAGAGGGATCAAGAGGGACTAATTCAAAACAGCAAGAGTACCTTGAACGTCGCGCAGTGTATCGTGCAGACCGTCGATCGGATTAAGCTGAGAATTTTCTATATCGAAGCTCACTCTAAGAGCTTTAAAATAAGCCAAGTTGCCTCGCGAAAAGTTCTGCCATTACGAAGTTATGGCTCGGACACCGTTAGCCTAGCGTTGGAGTGCTAGCGTACTAGCGTTGAGTCGGGTAGCATTCCGCCGTCGCACCGCGTAGAAAGGAAATTCCAGCAAGGAAGGAATTCGCTTGAATCAATTTCACTATATTCAGGTACAAACAGAGAAGGAATATATAGTTCTAGCTAGCATGGACCTTGGGAATAAACCTGGGAACAACTAGGGATGATCCCAAATAATTCCAAGCAACAGAACCAACCTGGCTGGACAAAACAGCAGGTAGTAGGTTGGTAAACAACCTCTGGTTCTGTTTTTCCAACCTGGGAAAACAACAACCAGGTTCAGGTCCTAAAAACAGAACCTGTTTTGTCTTTGCCCAACCAGCCAAATGCTGGTTCCGCTGGTTTCCCCTGGCCCTGTAGCATGCAGATACAGACAAACAACATCCAACCTTTACCTAAATTGTACCCCTATAGTGCCTGCCCTGCTACACTATAGTCAACCAAACAAAACAGTACAATTTCGAGTTGGATAGAACTGAATCTGCGCAATCAAGTAAGTTGAACCGCAAAGCTTCCACCTTGGGTTCCTTTGCGAGCTCGTCCTTTTTGCTTGTACTGTTCATAGCGCGTACAATGTTATGCCGAAGCGCACATTGTGCGAGTACCTGCAAATGCTTCAAGCAAAAATTGCGAAAGCAAACAAACACACGAACATACCATTCACACGCAAATGCATTCGCACACGCATACTCGTACAAACAGACCGCAGGATGTCGTGCAATGTGAATTTGCACCCAACACTCCGCCCAGCGCTGCTTTGGCCGCCTGACCGACGCTTGGCGCCAGCAGTTCCCGGAGGCCACGGAGATCCCCCGCTGGGGAGAGCTGTCTAGGGCTGGTGTAGCTATTTTTGATCTTGACTTTGATGCTATCCTTGCTGCTATGTATGCTGTGACCATTAGTGATGAGGGTGACTGTTACCGGTGTTTCCCGCCCGACCCGAGCATTGAGGCTGCTGCTCTAGGTGCCAGTGCGTCTGTGCTCTCAGGTACTAGTGAGGCTGCTCTCTCAGGTACTAGTGAGTTTGCGCTCTCAGGTACTGCGTCGGCCTCTGCCTCCCACACCTTCACCCTTGACTCTGGAGCGTCTCGCTCCTTCTTTCGGGACCGCACCACACTCACGCCGCTTAGTCAGCCGGTTGCGGTGTCCCTGGCTGACCCCTCTGGGGGTCCTGTCCTGTCTCGCTTCTCCACAGTCCTTCCGTGTCCGGCGGCTCCCTCTGGCACCCTGTCTGGTCTCTACCTCCCCTCGTTCTCTACGAACTTGGTGAGTGGTGCTGACCTACAGGATGCGGGAGTCCACGAGTTCACCCCTGCTCGTCAGCGAGTGACGCACTGCACAGAGGCTAGCACAGGTCGTCACCTAGCTACGTTTACACGTCAGCCAGGGTCGAGCCTGTACACACTGACCACTCCTTCTCCTCCAGTTCCTGAGTCTGGTAGGGTCCCTTCGTCAGGTCAGGTGTTTGCTGCAGCGTCCAGGTCTGGTCCTGAGTCTGCCCCCTGTTCGTGTCGTTGCCTGTCTCACGAGACTCTCCTCTGGCACCACCGCCTGGGTCACCCCTCTCTGCTTCGGCTCAGAGGCATGGCCTCCCGTCTCCTTGTCTCTGGTCTCCCCAGGTCCCTCCCTCCCCTTCCTCAGGGCCCTGGCCCTGCCTGTGTCCCCTGTGTCGAGGGACGCCAGCGTGCTGCCCCTCACTCCTCCCAGTTTCCTCCGACAGAGGCTCCGTTGCAGACGCTTCACATGGACGTGTGGGGCCCTGCCCGCGTCCGTGGACTCGGTCACGAGCGCTACTTCCTGTTGGTGGTTGACGACTACTCGCGTTACACCGCGGTCTTCCCCTTGCGCAGCAAGGGTGATGTCACTGCGGTGCTGATCGACTGGATCCGCGCAGCTCGTCTCCAGCTCAGGCAGAGCTTTGGCTCGGACTTTCCTGTGTTGCGTGTGCACTCGGACAGAGGCGGAGAGTTCTCCTCTGGCCTTCTGCGTGCCTACTGTCGTGCGCGAGGCATCCGTCAGACCTTCACGCTTCCGGACTCACCGCAGCAAAATGGGATTGCAGAGCGCCGCATTGGCATGGTCATGGACGTCGCTCGTACGTCTATGATGCATGCGGCTGCCCCCCATTTTCTGTGGCCGTTTGCGGTCAGGTACGCGGCGCATCCGATCAACCTCCACCCCAGGGTCTCCAGGCCGGAGACCTCCCCAGCCCTGCTGTGGACGGGGAAGGTTGGCGATGCGTCGGCGTTCCGGGTCTGGGGATCTCGGGCGTTTGTCCGCGACTTGTGTGCGGACAAACTGTCCCCTCGCGCTGCTCCCTGCGTCTTCCTGGGGTTCCCCCTCGACGCCCCTGGGTGGCAGTTCTACCACCCCACCTCTCGACGTGTTCTGTCCTCCCAGGACGTCACGTTCGACGAGTCGGTACCCTACTACCGCCTCTTCCCCTACCGCACTCCGTCCCTCCCCCCACCCCCGCTCTTCTTGGTACCAGGTCCCCCCCCGGTAGACCCCCTTCCCCCTCAGGGTCCTGCCCCTTCAGGTGTGTCCCAGGTAGACGCAGTCGAGCCTGTCGAGGTCAATGGTGACTCTGGTGCTGCTGTGGGTGCTGAGCCTAGGGGTGCTGTGACTGGGGGTGCTGTGCGTGGGGGTGCTGAGCCTGGGGGTACGGAGCCTGGGGGTGCGGAGCCTGGGGGTGCTGAGCCTAGGGGTACTGAGCCTGGGGGTGCTGAGCTTGGGGGTGGTGAGCCTGGGGGTGCTGAGACTGGAGGTGCTACGACTGGAGGTGCTTTGCCTGGGGGTGCTGAGCCTGGAGGTTCTTCGCCTGGAGGTTCTCCGGGTGCTTCGTCTCGCCGAGAGCCACTCTCCCCACAGGAGCTGCGTGAGTGGTTTGCCCGGCGCTGGAGGTGTGCTGCTGGTACTGGAGGTTCTTCGGCCGCTGAGGGTGTTGGCGCTGAGACTGTCACTGGCAGTCCGACTTGCGGTGCTCCTGGTGCTGCTGGGGGTTCTGGGGCTGCTGGAGGTGCTGCTGGGGGTTCCGGAGCTACTGGAGGTGCTGCTGAAGGTGCTGCTGGAGCGGGTACTCCTGCTGGGGGTACTGGTGCTGTCCCTGCTGTTTCTGGCGTCGCCACGCGGCCCCGACCGTACTTCGTTCCACTCCTGCAGCAGGTTCTTGGTCTTACACCTTCTTCTGGTCCTCCTCCTTCTCCCTTAGAGGGTCCACAGCCTGTCCAGTCACAGTCTCAGCTAGAGCCTGCCTCCTCTTTGCCTGCTCCTTCTCCCTACGCTGGTCCGACTGGAGGTCTTACTGAGCGTCGTGAGCCTGCGTCTCGTCCTGTGTCACCTATTCGTGCTGCACGCACTAGTGGTCGCGGTTCGCGCCAGCGTCCTCCTCCTGTCCCTGGCACGCATCGGATGTCTCTGCGTCCGTCTACTGCTCCTCTGCGTGCCCCTTTTCCTTCTCCTCCTGCTTCCTCTCTTCCTGCTCTTGCCGACCCGGAGTCGGACTCTCTTCGTGCTGCCAGTCCTACTGTCACGCGTCTCCTTGCTACTGCCGTCACTGACCCTTCTTTCGAGTCTACTGCTGCGTCTGCCCTTGTTACTGAGCTCGTCGACTTTGCTGCTCGCTGTCGTCTAGACTACGCTGCTAGTCTTGTCGCTGAGTCTGAGTCTGCCTGTCCTCCGTCCGTCGGGGGTGAGTGTGCCCTTGGCACGGACGTCCTTGAGGACAGGCAGGAGGAGTTCCAGTGTCTGGCCGCCGCTTCACCTCATCTCGTGTCCCTACTGCTCACCCCTGAGGGAGACCCGGATGCACTTGACATCCCGACTCCGCGCTCTTACGCGGAGGCGATAGAGGGTCCCTACTCCTCTCAGTGGCAGGCAGCTATGGATGCAGAGATGGCTTCCTGGGAGTCCACAGGCACCTACGTTGACGCTGTCCCCCCTCCTGGGGCGAACATCGTCAGTGGCATGTGGATCTTCAGGGTGAAGCGGCCGCCGGGTTCTCCGCCTGTCTTCAAGGCGCGTTACGTGGCTCGTGGCTTCAGTCAGCGGCAGGGGGTTGAATACTTTCAGACCTTCTCCCCCACCCCGAAGATGACCACTCTTTGGGTACTGCTGCACGTTGCTGCTCACCGTGACTACGAGCTGCACTCTCTCGACTTCAGCACTGCTTTCTTGCAGGGCAGCCTGCAGGAGGAGATCTGGCTGCGCCGCCCACCTGGCTTCACTGGGTCTTTCCCTCCTGGTACCCAGTGGAGTCTCCGGCGTCCAGTCTACGGTCTCCGCCAGGCGCCGCGTGAGTGGCACAACACACTGAGGACTACGCTGGTGGCACTTGGGTTTACTCCTTCCACTGCAGACCTGTCGCTGTTTCTGCGCACCGACACCTCTCTGCCGCCGTTCTACATCCTCGTGTACGTCGACAACTTGGTCTTTGCCACAGCTGACACTGCTGGACTCGCCTACGTGAAGTCCGAGCTGCAGAAGAGACACACGTGTACTGACCTGGGTGAACTGCGCAGCTACCTTGGCTTGCAGATCACCCGGGACAGAGCACGCCGCACCATTACCCTGACTCAGTCACACATGGTGCAGCAGGTCCTTCAGCGCTTCGGCTTCACGTACTCCTCGCCTCAGGCCACTCCTCTGCCTACTCGCCACTCGATCTCAGCTCTGCCTTCGGATGAGTCCGTGGAGTCGAGTGGCCCGTATCCAGAGCTTGTGGGCTGCCTCATGTACCTGATGACCTGCACTCGACCTGACCTTGCATACCCTCTTAGCATTCTCGCACGCTATGTTGCTCCTGGGAGACACCGACCAGAGCACATGGCTGCAGCGAAGAGGGTGTTGCGCTACTTGTGCAGTACGTCGGGCATGGGGCTAGTGCTTGGAGGTCGGAGTCCAGTGGTCCTCACTGGGCATGCGGACGCTTCTTGGGCTGACGACCAGGCCACGCAGCGGTCGTCACAGGGTTACACCTTCAGCCTTGGTTCCGGCTCTGTTTCGTGGCGGGCTACCCGCTCGTCTTCTGTTCTCGGCTCCAGTTGTGAGGCTGAGATCTACGCCGGGGCTATGGCTGCCCAGGAGCTTCGCTGGCTCACCTACCTACTGACCGACCTTGGAGAGCCGCCTCGTTCTCCTCCAGTCCTGTACGTAGACAACAAGGCCATGCTGGCCTTGTGTCGAGAGCAGCGACTGGAGCACAGGACAAAGCACATTGCTCTCTGCTATTTTCTTGCTCGTGAGCTACAGCAGCGTGGACAGTTGCGGCTTGCGTACGTGGCCTCTGAGGCCAACACTGCTGATGTCTTCACCAAGGCACTTGCGCCTTGTGATCATCAGCGCCTCTGCACGCAGCTGGGTCTTGTGCCTGTCTTGCCTCACTTGCTCACTTCTTGACCTTGCTTGTACTTTCACATATATATACTCTTGCTCTTGCTTGCTTAGACTCTTGTATAGCTATATATGTGATCTTGCATGTGAACTGGCCTTCTGGCCTTTGAACTTGTGCTCGGAATGTGTGGTGACTTTGTGATCCACCTTGAGCTTTGCTTTGCTTTGTTTGACTGGTCTTGTGACCCCTTGTTCTCCCCCAATTTGCCTATGGGGGTGTGTCAGAACATTATAGCTTATGCTATTGTGTAGGCTATAGTGGGGTATCCCATAAGGGGTACAACCCAATTAGGGTTTCATATTTGTACTCACTTCGTTCATAGTTCATCCATTCTCGTTCTATTCTTCTCAGTTATTGCCGTTCAGCTTCCAGCAATCTTGAATTATATGCCCTGTCTTCTTGCAGTATGTGCAGAAGAGCTTTTTCTTGTCTGGTGGCGCTTGCGCGTAGAAAGCGATCTTCTCCTTCTTGTTGCCTCTTTCGTTGTACATGTCGATCTCCTTCCGTCCGGAGAGGAGTGAGGCGCAGATGGCAGTTTCGGTGAGGGTTCCTTGCGTGCAAAGGAGCAACTTGCACTGGCGCCATTCCGGACTCAAGCCAGCGAGGATGGTGGTGACGAACATGTCGTCAGGGAAGTTGCCGCCGCTTTTCCTGAACTGGTCTCTCAGGTTTCTGCAGCAATTGATGTATGGTCCGGCCTTTTCACCGGGGAACATCTTGACATTGTTCAGCTGGTTGAGCAGGCGACTAAGTGTCACCGAGTTCGTTGCCATGTGGCAGGTGCGTAGGTGTTCCCTGGATTGTTGCGCGGGTGCCCACTAGTTCTTAAAGGGGCGAATGCTCAGCTATTCTTCAGGCGATAGGTTCCGGATGAAGTCGGTGAAGGCCAGGAGCGATTCGTTGTAGTATTGCGTCTTCTGCTGAGGTGAGCCGTTAGTCGGAAATGCGTATGATCCATCATAATACATCGAGATCGAAGCACCCTGGGCTAGTAGCTCGAATTCGAAGCTTCATGTGTAGAAGTCTTGTCCATCGAAGGGCTTCATTGTCTTGAGCTTCGATGTCGAAAGGAATTTGCTTTGCATTGAAGCCATTGCTTTGTAATGCGTCTGTTGTGCTTATGCAGATCCTTGGGCTCCGCGGTTGTTAAATGTGAAGGATCGTTCACATCCAGCTCCTTGAGGGTCGGGATGTCTTCGGGCGTAATTGGAGCCGTCGATGCTCATCGGCTGATGGCTCTCCAGGGCGCTGATGTGGAAGATCAGCTGCTCGAGGAGCGTTGTGTCCAATGTCGCTATGGCAGAAGCGACATTGGTGGGAGGTTGCACTGGATTTTCTCCAGCCTCTCCGCAATCCGCGCCTGGCATCTTGTTGCTCTTGATGTAGATTAAATTTGTAACAGGGCTTGTTTTGAAGCCCTTTTAGCAGTTCCTAATATCCAAACTAGCTCTCATACCATGTTATAATAAGGATCTTTGGATAGGATAGGCTTGCCTTAGAAGAGTTTGGTAGCGGGAATCTTTGTTGTAGGAACTCTGATCATAGTGAATCTAGATGACAACGTTAATTAAACCAAGAGATTATACACATAATAAATAGTTCAAACTAGTCATTTACTCTGAGAGGTACATTCCCTTATTCTAACTGATTTGCAAGCATTTCCACAGTAACTCTGACTATGCACTTCTTTCTTGTTACCGAGTCGCTGCATGTAACCGGCACGCACGGTTACGCCTGTTGCCATTCATCGACGATAGGTCAATCGTCGGTCTAGATAGTCAACAGTCGCGACAGTTGACTTTTGCGACTGTTGACCTTCCTGCCCTTGATACGGGCTGATCCGATACTGCTGCACCTACGGGAATGTTAAGTATAAGGGTACATTCGTGGCCCGTGTCAGACTTCAGGTCAAAAGCCCTTAGTCTCCAATTTGGCTCATCCGAACTCGGATTTGCCTCACGAACGAGCCACTTCGGGTCTTCTGAGCCTCCACTTTGGGTCTGACCTGATGTCTGACACGGGCTACGAATGTACCCTAATTCCTCTCATACTCCAACAGCCTACGTGTCAGAATATGAATTTCTTATATAATTACATGCATAGATAGTAGTGTAGTATCATCATATCTTTCCGTTAGGTGGTCTACATCTGTTGACCACTTCCCCTTTCCTTTATCTTGTATCCTCCTTATTATTGCAACACTCCTCTTTGGCCAACTCTCTCTTACCCCAAACCCCAGACTACTAAGTCTACTCTCTGACATGCTACCAGAGCTACTACGGTCTTAGGACCTACTTTATTTCAAGGAACATGGCCCCGCCCACGCTGCAGCGTGATATGCGCTATTTGTTTGCGTCACCGGTAACGCCCGAGGCGCGAACCCGTCCCGTCCCGTCATGTCCGTCTCGCTTTGCCCGAAGCGCCTGCCCATCCCGTTCCGTCGTCGCCCTACGCTCTGCTCGTCATGCCCGTCTCGTCCCCCGCTCGTCGTGCCCGTCACGCCCATCGCCCTGCTCGTCGTAAGCGCCAGCGCCAGCGCGGACCGCCAGCGCCTGCGACTGCCGCCAGCGCTAGCGCGGAACGTAAGCGCCAGCGCCAACGCCAAAGTCTGCGCCCAGCGCCAGCGCCGGTGCCCACGCCTGCGCCAACGCCAGCGCCAGCACTGGCAGCAGCTAACGTCGTGGGGGGGGGGGGGGGGGAGGGGGAGATGTGGGGGTGGCGAGTGTGAACCGCCAGCAACCCGTCCCTCCCCTCCCTCTTCCTCTCTTCCTGCAGCACTAGTTGCTGTAGGGGGGGGGGGGGGGGGGGGGGGGGGGGGGGGTGGGGGGGGAGAGGTTAAGAGAGGATGAGAGAGTTAAGGGGGGATAAGAGAGAGAGAGAGAGAGAGAGAGAGAGAGAGAGAGAGAGAGAGAGAGAGAGAGAGAGAGAGAGAGAGGAGAGAGAGAGAGAGAGAGAGAGAGAGAGAGAGAGAGAGAGAGAGAGAGAGAGAGAGAGAGAGAGAGAGAGAGAGAGAGAGAGAGAGAGAGAGAGAGAGAGAGAGAGAGAGAGAGAGAGAGAGAGAGAGAGAGAGAGAGAGAGAGAGAGAGAGAGAGAGAGAGAGAGAGAGAGAGAGAGAGAGAGAGAGAGAGAGAGAGAGAGAGAGAGAGAGAGAGAGAGAGAGAGAGAGAGAGAGAGAGAGAGAGAGAGAGAGAGAGAGAGAGAGAGAGAGAGAGAGAGAGAGAGAGAGAGAGAGAGAGAGAGAGAGAGAGAGAGAGAGAGAGAGAGAGAGAGAGAGAGAGAGAGAGAGAGAGAGAGAGAGAGAGAGAGAGAGAGAGAGAGAGAGAGAGAGAGAGAGAGAGAGAGAGAGAGAGAGAGAGAGAGAGAGAGAGAGAGAGAGAGAGAGAGAGAGAGAGAGAGAGAGAGAGAGAGAGAGAGAGAGAGAGAGAGAGAGAGAGAGAGAGAGAGAGAGAGAGAGAGAGAGAGAGAGAGAGAGAGAGAGAGAGAGAGAGAGAGAGAGAGATTTGCATGTACTGTTTTCCTTGTCTATTATCTGTCCGTCGTATCTTGGCGCCGTCGTTCCTCATTGCGTACACCCGCAAGCGGGTATTCCACCGTACCCGACGGTGAGAGCAGCTATAGGCACGGTGACGTCAGTGCTTCGATATGAGCCCCTACGCTAGCTAGACTAGCATGCAATCAAGAGGGGTGTCAGAATATGAAATTCTTATATAATTACATGCATAGCTACCGTAGTAGTGTAGTATCATCATATCTTTCCGTTAGGTGGTCTACCTCTCTTGACCACTTCCCCTTTCCTTTATCTTGCACCCTCTTTGTTATTGCAACACTCCTCTTTGGCGAACTCTCTCTTACCCCAAACCCTAGACTACTAAGTCTACTCTCTGACACTACAGTGCAGCATGCCTAACCGAGGAGCATGGCCTACACAGCAGCATGCCTAACGGAGGAGCATGGCCCACAGAGCAGCATGCCTAACGGCGGAGCATGGCCCACAGAGCAGCATGCCTAACGGAGGAGCATGGCCTACAGAGCAGCATGCCTAATGGAGGAGCATGGGCAACGATCGTAGGTAATCAACCCCAAGTCTTGCTTACTATGCTGCCTCGATGCATCAAAGACACTCCCTGCCAAGCTGTCATCCTACGCACACACACAAACATGGCACATATTCAGGCGCCTCGAAACAAACAGAGCAAAATCAGGTTGTTTCTCCAGAAAGCTTGGCCTGAAGAAGCAGACAGGCAAAGGGTAGGCACATCTGAGGGGCTGCCAGGCCTGAGGGGCCTAGCACTAAAAGGCAAAGCACAGCTGTGTAATCAGGAAAAAACGGGGCCTCTGATAAGCTGTTCGCGTCACACACAGGTCCCCACAATGCAGGAAAAGAAGAACCTCCTCCGACCGAGGTCAACACAAAGCAAATCGTTGCAACTCATGGTCAGTTGAACCAGGTCAACTGAGTCAACCGAACTGACTGAATTATATGTGGGAGGAAAGAGCGAACACCAGGTTCTCCCAGGAGCTTTGTTCAAGGCAATGGATGGTCAAACCAAGTCAACCAAGGCAACCAAGCCAACCGAGTGTACCCAGAAACTACTTGCCGGAAGCCAAAGCATTCACCCCAGAAATCACTCGCGGAGGGGAAACGCATTCACCAGATTATCCCCCAGCGCCTTCACCACCGTCTCCACACTCCCCAACTCCTGCACACCCCGCCCCACCGCACTCCTCATCACCGCATCCAACTCCCCTCCATCCCTCCCCACCGCATACCGCACCAGAGCACCCTGCAGGGCATTCTGAGGGGGAAGGGCACCCAGGGGGATTCCGAAGACGCGCACTCTCTCTATGCAGAAGCGGGACGGAGGAGGAGGTGCGTTCTGGGGGAGGATGTATGCCGGGCGGTGAGGGCTGGTGGAGGCGGTTTGGGCGAGGAGGTAGGCAGGGAGGGAGGGGGAAGAGAGAGAGGGGGAAGAGGGGCGAGAGGGGGAGGAGGAGGAGGAAGGGGAGCGGAGGGGTGAGGATGAGCACGAGGGGATGGGGGATTGGGAGGGGAGGGAGAGGGAGGAGGTAGAGTCCAAGCTGCTGATACTGTCAGTGCTGCTGCTGTTGTGCATGGGACCAACCCCAGGGCTATCACACGGGGGACTATCTATAAGCTCCACACTCCTGTTGCTGCTGCTGCTCATGTTGCTCTTGCTGCTTCTGCTGCCAGTGTTGCTGCTGCTGCTGCTCTCGCAGGAAAGAGTTCTGTGAATGCGTCTGGCCAGTCGCCCTCGAGCCTGCCTCATCAGTGCTCTCCACTCGCTCTCCACGCCCCCCCACATACACCCCTCCCCACCACCATCACTACCATCACCAGCATCACCGTCGCTGCTGTCACTGTCGCTCCCACCACTGTCCACCCCCCAACCACCCTCACTGCCTTCCTCTTCCTCCTCTTTCCCCTTTCCCTTCTCTTTCTCCCATCCCTCCCTCTTGTCACAAGCTCCACTCAAGCAGCCATCATTGCAAGTACCTTCACGTTTACCTTCCCCTTCCTCCCCTTTTCTCCTCCCTTTACTCCCCCTTCCTGCACCCCCTTCCCGCCATCCCCCGTCATAGCCCCCCCCTCCGCCTTTCCTCCCGCCTTCCCCTCCGGCTTCCGCCCAACCTTCCGCCCAGGGGGAGCCTGAGAGCAGCAGGCGCACGTGGTTGCCCAGGGCGAGCGCGGATGGAGGGAGGCGGAGCAGGTGGGAGATGGGCGCGGGGGACAGCGGGAAGGAGGCGGAGGAGAAGGGGAAGGAGGAAGGGGAGAACCCCACTTCGACCTGAGAAAAGGGGGGACACGGGAAGAATTTGGGGGAGGAGGAGGGGAGGATGCGGGGACGGGAAGTGGGAGAGGGGAAGATGGAGGGTGGGAGGAGAGTGGAGGACAATGGGCGCATTTGAAAGCATGCACAGGGGAGCACCAGATGCAAGGGCGGTATGGTGAAGGTACCTCGTGCAGAGGTATTCGAAGGGAGAGGGGGGGGGGGTGGGGTTGGGCGGGGAGAGAGGGGCCTGGGAGTGGGGGGTGGTTTAAGAGCAACAGTGAGTGGGGTGTGTGCGAGCAACGGTCACCTGGAGGAAGTTTGGGCAGACGGCGTTCCAGATATCCTGCCCGGAAACGATCTCCACCCCCGTGACGAGGCACAGGGGCAGGTCCAGGCGGAAGGTGAGCGACTCCCGCGCCTCCTGCAGCCGGGGGAATGGCTGCGCATGGGGGAAAGAAGGGGGAAGGGGGGAGAGGGAAAGGGTGAAGACTATTGAGAGGTCTCATAAGTCGTGACGAGACACAGCGGCAGGTCCAGGCGGAACGTGAGCGACTCCCGCCTCCGGTAGGGGGGGGAATGGTTGCGCATGCGGGGGAGGGGGGCGGGGGGACGGAATGGGGAGGGGGAAGGGAGAGTGGGATGCAGGAAGGGGAGGAAAATGGGGGAAAAGGCGGGGAAGGCGAAGGAATGGGAGTTGGAGGAGAGAGGAGAGAAGGAAGAAGTAAGGGATGTGGGAGAAGGAAGAGCAGTAAAAGGCTGCAGGGAGCGATTGAAATTATTACTCACCACCTCAAGCATGTCTAGTCTGCACTCACCTAGACAAACCAGACTCTACCACACCTGACTAAACTGCACCCCAACGCAATCGGCTGCATCCCACCGCACCTGACTGAACCAGAAGAAGTCGTCTCGGAGAGTCCACTCGGCGCCCCACCCCTCCTCCTCGCTCGAGCTCCCCACCGCCTGCAGAGGAAGCTGCGGAGGAACCTTCCACTCGCGATCCAGCTCCACGAGCCCGCGGTAGACCTCCTTCCAGGAACCTTTCGGGACAATCAGGGGAAGGTGGCTGTGCCTGTGCTGCTCTTGCTCCTCTCCGTGCCTCATGCCGAGTCGTGGCAAGACCAAATTCTTTCCATGACAACAACCACTACCGCTAGTAGGATTATTGGTGTTACGGGCGCAGCTGCTTTTTTTATCATCCGTGCGGAGGTGGTACCTGCAGTGGCGCCGTACGCGATTGTAGCCGTTCTGCGGGGAGCCAGAAATCAGGTGGTGCAGCGCGGGGGAGGGCCGACCGGGGGAGGCAGATCCTGGCGAGGGCGCTACTGGCGGAGCCAGTAACACCGGGGAGAACGGCAGCAACGGCGCGACGTTGCTAGCAAAGCAAACACCAGTATCTGCGTAAACCCGCTGCGCTTCACTTTCAGTCGCCCCACGCTGTTGAGCGGCGTGTGGCGGCGGTTGCGGCGTTTCGGGGGAAGCCCATTGAGCTGCTGATGCTGCCTTTGAGGAGTGTGACTTTAGCGGGAGTGCGGACTTTGCGGCGGTTGCGGGGAGCGATAGCACCTGCGCGACTTTTTCCGACCAGAGCGTATCGGAAGCTGGGTGCGGATAGGCGGGTGCGGAGAGATACGGGGGAACAGATGTGCGCAAAAGCAAAGCGCGCGGAGAGAATTGCAGGCGCGCGGAAAAGAGCGCGGGCATCCAGCGAGAGGCATTGGGGAGGAGGGGCGGGGAAGGCGTGAGGTGGGCAATACAAGCGCGGAGAAGCGCAGGGGGGGCGTGATTGAGAGGGAATGCACTCAAGAAAGACGCGGACGAGACAGGGTGTTTTTGAGAGTTCTCAGCTAATAAGTGATCAAAGAGAAGGCACGCAGCAAAACATCAAACATAGACGATCAATCGTTGAATACCTGCTAGACTGCGCCACCGTCGCGATACCGCTGCGGATCGACAAAGACAGCGAGGCGGGAGGCAGCGAAGCACCTCGACTGCCACGTCATCGTAGTCCCAGAGCTCCGCGAGGGGCAGCGAGGCACCCGGAAGCGCGTGTGATTCCGCCATTCCCGAAAGGAGTTGCAATTAACGAGAGGAATGGCAGAGGATTAAGAGTTGCATGCGAGTCGTGTTTGACTATGGTTGCGGAAACTACTCGCGCGTACATAAGACGTTGTCGTGTAACGCTGGCTATAAATTTCGATAAAGTTTGACAAGACTGCCGATTACGGTGTGGAGCCTGAAGCGTAGACGGAAGATTAGGCGAGCACATATGTATGTGCGGACGGGACGGGACGGGACGGGACGGGGTTGTCGTTGAGAGATGGCGCGAAAAAGCGTGATTGCTCTAAGTCAAGTTGTCGCAAACCAAAAGGCGCCTGTCCTGGGGTGGGTGGGGGCTTGGGGTGGGGCTCTTGGAAAATGACGAGCTAGTGCGGAAAACAGGTGGGTTGGAGGGGACAGGTGCGCTTGTCAAATGTCACGACAGGCGCATCTAGACTAGTTTCCCCCCCTCGTGTTCTATACTCACTACTATTCCGACACACTTTTTACCTCAATCTTTTCCAACCACCCCTTACCCTTCTCCGCCCTTCTCATTCAGGTCCGCATGTTTTCGCCCCCTCACCACCAGTCTAGCCTTTGAAGGTGATTGGAGGAGGCTGGCGCCTGTGCGGTTCGGAATGGGGGGCGGCGGCACCTGTGCGATTCGAAACGGGGGCTTCTGCAGCAATGTGCGCCACGAAAAGGGCGGCGTTACGTTACGAATCGAGGGGCGCTGAACACACAGATCTGACCGTCCAGCTGTCCGACATTTACAGTTTCCTTCCTCATCACTCCGATCTAGACACGGACCCTGGGTGTTAGACAGGTGACGTGGTGCTGACACAGCACAGCGTAAAGAGTACCGTACACCTCTTTGAAGTATGGTGCTCTCTCTTCAGTTGCATATTGTAAGGAAATTCCCTTTTCCTTACTTCGCGTCCCTGCTCAACGCGTACATCACTCTAGCACCTCAGTCAGCACCGTTACCACTCGTGACCATCGCATCATTCATCATCCCGCCCTTTTCGCACATCGCATCCCGACCTCACGGCTCGGCTGGTAACCCGCGCTCCGGACCTACGCTTCGACACTTTCCCAACCTCAGTCCCAGGCTCGTCGCGCGACCATTACCGTTATGTCAGAATGAGGAATGGATGTTGCATTGATGTTGGTTGGGGTACATATGACAAACCCTAACTTCTGTACCCCCTAAGACAAACCTCACTACAGGCTACAATATTTGACACACCCCCATAGCCTAAGTGAGGGGTGTCTAGCAAAAACAAAAAAAAAGAGTACGGTCACAAGACCAGTCCAAAAGAAAACAAAGCTCAGGGTGGATCACAACGTCACCACACACTCTGAGCACAAGCAACAGTGGCCACAAGGCCAGTCCAAGAGATCACAAGTATATATAGTAAGTGTACAGACGAAGCAGGCAATAAACTCAAGTCTACGCATGACTAGAACCTGTGTCAACAAGGCCTAACTGCACACAACACCTCTGGTGGTCACAAGGCGGAAGCGCCTTGGTGAAGATGTCTGCAGTGTTGGCCTCGGACTCTACAAACTCGAAGCGAGCCTGTCCACGCCTCTGCAACTCTCGCAGAAGAAAGTACCTGACGTGAATGTGCTTCACTCTGCTCTCCAGTCGCGGCTCACGACAGAGGAGGATCGACGCCTTGTTGTCAGTAAACAAGGTCGGTGCAGAGCTCGGCCGCTCACCAAGGTCGGCGAGCAAGAAGGTCAACCACCGTAACTCCTGTGCCGCCATGGCACCAGCGTAAATCTCAGCCTCAGCTGTAGAGGTCGAGACAGAAGAGGAGCGCGTGGAACGCCAGGAAACAGCTCCAGAACCCAGACTGAAACAGTACCCCTGAGTAGACCTGTGAGTCTCAGCGTCGTCAGCGTAAGAGGAGTCACAGTGACCAGTGAGTACGACAGACTGCTGCCCTCCAAGAACTAGCCCCACGCCTGATGTAGTCGCTAGGTACTTCGCCACCCTCACAGCTGCCGTCCAGTGAACAGGACGGTGTCTCCCTGGCGCAACAAAGCGCGCAAGGATGCTGAGAGGGAAGGCGAGGTCCGGGCGAGTACAAGTCATCAGGTACATGAGGCAACCCACAAGCTCTGCGTAGGGACCACTAGGCTCAAACGGCTCGTCAGGAAAGGGACCAGTGAGTCTGTGGTCAACAGCTAGAGGTGTGCGCTGTACGGTGGAGTGCTGAAGCCCGAACCGCTGAAGGACCTGCTGCACCATGTGTGACTGTGAGAGTGTAATGGTGCGAGCGGCTCTGTCCCTGGTGATCTGCAGGCCAAGGTAGTGGCGCAGCTCACCAAGATCAGTGCACGTGTGTCTCTTCTGCAGTTCGGACTTCACGTCTGCCAAAGCAACCCTGTCCGAAGTGGCGAAAACGAGGTCGTCGACGTAGACCAGAACAAAGAACGGTGTGGAGCCACGACGAACGAACAGCGACGGGTCGGCAGAAGACGGCTGGAACCCAAGGTCAGAGAGGGTAGAACGCAGAGTGTCGTGCCACTCACGAGGGGCCTGGCGAAGACCGTAAACAGGTCGCCTCAGCCTCCACTGGGTCCCAGGAGGGAAAGTGCCAGTGAAGGCCGAGGGACGACGCAACCAGACCTCCTCGTGTAGACTGCCCTGAAGGAAAGCAGTGGAGAAGTCAAGAGAGTGTAACTCGTAGTCTCTCTGTGCTGCTACGTGTAGTAACACCCGAAGAGTGGTCATCTTCGGGGTAGGTGCGAAGGTCTGAAAGAAGTCAACTCCCTCGCGCTGACTGAAACCTCTAGCCACGTAGCGCGCCTTGAAGACCGGGGGAGATCCCGGTGGCCGCTTCACCCTGTAGATCCACATGCCGTCGACTACGTTCGCCCCAGGGGGGGGAACCTCATCGACGTAGGTGCCTGTGGATCTGTAGGAGGCCATCTCTGCGTCGAGTAGCCCAAGAACGAGACGGAGGAGGAGAGGACAAAGGCGGAGAACTGGGGAAAACAGCGGGGGAGGAGTCAGGAGGAGGAAACGTGGGACCGTAGACAGGAGGAGAGGCGGAGGAGGGAGGAGAAGGGGAGGGGAGACCAAGGATCCGAAGACCCGAGACAGGAGGAGGAAGTGGCTGCTGCTGCTGCGGCTGCGACTGCTGCTGCTGCGGACGCGGCTGCTGCTGGGACTGCTGCTCCTGCGGGTCCAGCTGCTGCTGCTGCTGCTGCTGCTCCTGCGGCTCCAACTGCTGCTGCTGCTCCTCCAGCCGCTGTAACTCCCTCTCCTCTCTCTCCAACGCCAGCTGCTCGTCACGGGCACGGCGAACACGAGCCTGGTGCCTAGTCGGGTAGGGGTGGGGGGGTGGAGTAGTGTCCGAAGCAGCGGCAGCTCCAGAGTCCACCTCAGAAGAACTAGGCGCACCACCCCCAGAGGCAGCACTAACACCAGCTCCAGAACCCGGCTCACCTGAACCCGAAGGAGGCGCACCCTCACCCCCAGACGCAGCACCCCCAGTGTCCGCGCGGCCAGCACCAGCTCCCGGACGACAAGAGTCCTCTGCACCCACCGGGTCAGCTCCAACTCCAGAACCAGAAACTCCAGCTCCAACCCCAGCTCCAACTCCAGCACCCCCAGAACCAGAAACTCCAGTGCCAACTCCAGCTCCAACTCCAGCTCCAACTCCAGCTCTAACTCCAGCACCCCCAGAACCAGAAACCGGTACAGGAACAGGCGCCGCACCAACCTCTCGAGAGCTAGCACCAGCGGCACGCTGCGAGGAGGACTGTGGGGAGGGAGGCTGTACCGGAGGGGCTACCGAAGGAGGAGGGGTAGCCTGGGACACACCTGACGGGGCTGGACCAGGGGGGGGAGGCTGTACCGGGGGAGCAGGAGGGGGAACGGCAGTCAGGAAGAGGGGGGGAGGAGGAACCGGGAGACCTCGACTGGGGTACCTGACGTAGTACGGAGCGGACTCCTCGAAACGGACGTCACGGGAGTCAAAGAACCGGTGAGAGGGAGGGTGGTAAAAGGTGAAGTCAGAGGAGTCCTCAGGGAAACCAAGGAAGAC